AAAAGAAAACAAACAAAAACAAAGCAAACGGGGAGGGGGGGAAACAAAGCAACATCAGCAACACAGGGGTCTACAGCTCCTGCCCTACCTGTTTGCACCATAGTCTGTTGCCTCTTAAAGGCATCCATGTCTCCAGGGTTTGTAATGGTGCCTGAGGCTGCCCCTTGATGTCCCTGCAAAACAACGTCTTTGGTAATTAGGCTGGGCATACCCGACGAAAAATAAATTCAAACACATTTAAGGAAAATAACCAAGTAATTCGTTTGTTTTTGTCAAAAATAAATCTCTCCTTTTTCACCTGAAACTGCTGCTGGACAGAGAAAGCAGCGGAAACATTGGGAGGGAGCTGCGTTGCTATGGCAACTGGTGTCCCTGCTTGGCCATCCTTTCCAGTAACAACCTTTACCTTAAAAAGGCAAAGAATTGAACAGAGCACAACGTAAATGGGTCTAATTCACACATCGATAACAGTAAAAGGTCTGCCAGTCAGACTCTTCCTCGCCCTCTGCTTTTCACCGCAATCTTGTCTAATAAGTACAATTATTTTCCTTCACATGCATCAGATTTCTAATAAACAAAAAATAAGTGCATCAAAGTAAAGGCTGCCAGTCTATACGTTAAACAAAACGATGGGATATTTTAGATAAGAAAGACCAAACAGAAGGAAATGAAAGGAAAAACCTGCCTAGTTCTGATCTCTGCCCGCCCCATTAAAGCATCTTCAGTGAATAAATCTAACATTACAAACAAGCTCTTATGATACCTCGTCATTAATGACCTCCGACTGTTCTTCTTCCTCATCGTCATCATCGAGATCCAAGTCATTCTGCCTCAGGTAAGTGTTTAAGGGATGACAATGTTTCTTCTTAAAAGCGTGATAGTCCATGATGTTCCCCTGAAGATGCTGCAGAAAGAAAAGCTCAACCATGTATTCTTTGAACATCTCCTTCAGGCTCTCCATCTTCTTGGTGTGGTGCTCCAAGCACTGCTTTCTCAGCTGAGCGATCTCAGGAGTAGCAGGAGGAATTTCTTCCAACTTCTTGGGAGCCTGCTTCTTTATGGAAGCTGCAGCCATACCGGTGGGTGCCAGAGCGCTGTTGTTGATGCCCTGTGTGGGACTAGTAAGGGATGGACTAGAGGGTGGAATGGAGGAGGGGATGCTGAACGTCGCTGTAGCGGTGGTTCCTACTCCTGTAACCACACCTTGAGCGGTCTTCTCAAAGACCATGGGCCGTCCCAGCTGTCCTTGGATGATGTTGCTGATCTGCGGAGGTAGGCTGGAAGTGGTGATGTGTCCGGGGCTGCCCAGGGTGGGGAGTGTTGTGCCAGTGGCAACAGGACTTTGAGGTCCTAGGTGGTGGATGGTGCCGCCAGTCTGAGAGTGAGGCTGAGAGAGCCGGCGTTCCCTCACACAGCCTGGTGCTCCTGGAGAAGCAAGCTGCACCTGACCAGATGCTGGGGCGATCTGGGCAAGTCCTGTTCCCTCCTGGTAAACAAAGTGGCCTCCTCCTGATTGGCCGCCTAAACTGATTTGTCGCACTATCATGCTAGCTTCAACGAATCGCGTAGGGCTCTGTCCACGTACTCCCAAAGCTGCAGTAGGAGCCCCTGGCCTTGTGACGCCTTGCAAAGAGACTGGGCTATGCTGAGTGGGACTCTGGGGTTGAATGGGCTGGGGCACCGGTGAGGTGACCTGAATGTAGGAGGAAGGAGCATGCTCAAACCTCCACTGAGATGTGCTATGCTGGAACCCCGGCGATGCTGGGTTCTGGATGGGGAGTGGGGTCAGAGTGATCTGTTGATTGGCAGTCAGCCCCACATTTTGCAATGTTATGTTCACATTTGGGCCTGTGACTGGGCTCCGACTCATGATTATTTGATAATTGGGTGACTGAGGGGCTGAAGGGCTGGCGGCGGAGGAAAAGGTGGTCACAGGAGACTGAGGGTGACTAATTGTAGCTTGTGGTTGTGTAGCTGCCATGGACAGCTGCTGCTGCTGCTCCTCAGCTTCTGACCCAGAGACAGACTTGGATTTTTGGAGCTGTCGTTGGATATTTTGCGATCCACTTCCATGGTGCATTGCGTTACACTGTTAAACACAACCTATGGAGGGAGAACAGGAAAAAAATAATTGATTTTACCACATAACAAATATCTGGTTTGGCACCCTACTATTGCCCTGTTTCAAAATGTGCAAATAATCTACACAGCTGGAATTAAATGGGCTACTTGATAAATGTTTTCTGACAAAATGATCACAAAAACTCTGCGATTGACTGGCGACCTGTCCAGGGTGTACCCCGCCTCTCGCCCACTGACTGCTGGAGATAGGCACCAGCACCCCTCGCGACCCCACTATGGACAAGCGCGTCAGATAATGGATGGATGGATGGATGATCACAAAAAATTTGTTGTAAATATGCTACATCTAATCGTAAGGGACTGCTTCGAAGCAGGCTTTTGGCTAGCAATGCGTACGGCCGTACAATGTACAACCTTTACGAAAAAAATGAAAAATTGTAGGCCATGATTTGCCCATGTAAACTTCGCTCAAATGCTCAAAATTTCCAAGCAGCAATTGCTGGTTCCGCCCCAAAAAAATACTGCTGTCAGTCATTGGTTCGATTTGTTGGTTGTTACGTGACGGACGTATTAGAGGGAGACTTTCAAGATTGATTTGTTTTAAGACTGAAAACTCAGATCTTGCGACAATCCAGCTTGCAGCGCTAGGTTATAAGGCAGCTGTTGTGGGATTCCCAGTGACAGGGCACACGCCGGTATGTGGGGGGTCTGAGCGACTCTGACAGCGAATTAATATTTTTAGACAGGATCGTAATCTGGATGAACTGACTGCACAGACAATGTTAGTAGGTGGACTTTCTGGAAAAAAAAGCCACTCTCAGCCTTTGAACAAAGAAGCAGTAGAAGCATTAGATGATCTGTACACACTTTACACACCTTAATGTATACACGCATCTAAAATGAAGCAGCAGGAGCTTTTCGCTGCTCAAATCGCAGTGTGGATGCAGCATTGGCAATCAGGGAGTGGCGGCCTAGTGGTTAGTGCATAGAGTTTGGAATCCTGAGCTTCTGAGTTCGAGCCCCACTCCCACAGACTGACACTCTGGGTCTCTGACCAAGATCCTTAACCCCACACAACTCCCTAGGCGCTTCACAATGGCAGCCCACTGCTCCCCAAGAGATGGGTTAAATGCAGAGGTCAATTTCTCCAATGTGAGATCAATAAAGTTCAATTATTATTTTTATTACATGTTCTGATTGTTTGAATTAACCACCTCTAGTGGTTAATTCATTCACCTCTAGAAATTTCCACAAAATTTCCACCTCTAGTCAAGCACACATACTAAAAAGTAGTGTTGTAACAAAGACAAAAAGTTAGCTGCATTCCACCTCAAAATGAAGGATATAGCATTTCAGAGAGTCTAAATTTCAACATTGAGCCCACTACTCTGCACAAAGCCTAAAGATGTGATACACCAAGGTACACCCAATTAAATATTTCTAGGTAAAAGCCTGCTTGGAAAAAAATACTTGGCAGGCTGCTTTAAGAAATAAAAGAAATGCTTTTATTCAGATCATGATTTTTTAAACACTCAGTATATCCATACTGATGTGGTATGAGCTAAGCGTTAGTAACATTATATCTCATAATTTGCCAAAAAATATATAATATGGCAACATAAAATATATAATATGGCAACATATTAATAGAAGAATAACTAAAACTTAAATTATACTACCTTTTTACTGCTTTAAGTCACACTTTCCCACTAATCTAATAATCAAGGCATACATCACCCGATAAGCACTTTAAAAAGTTTCAAAAACATTACGCTTTACCCAGAAATAATCAACAATATTAGACGCTACTGCTGAGAATGACATATGCATCAAACCACTCATAAAATACAACATAAGTACGGTTATTAAGACATTATATAAATTATGTAAATTGAAAACTGTTAATTTGGCCTTTCCAAATTGGGACGTTTTATTTAAAAACAAGAACTTTGAAACACGTTTTATTAAAACACGCATTGGCGTAGTATTACCATGCAAGCACAGTAGCAAAAACGCCTCTCACACTATAACTACATGCTTTGCAAACAAAGACGATGCACTAACCCAAAATATAATAATAATACCGATGGGAATTTAATCAGAGGTATAGTCAATACACAGCGTTTAAGCACCGTTAGGAAATCTACGACTTGATCGCTGTTCACTTTTAAATGTACAATAACAAACACGCATTTCCAGACAAGGCTTTTGTGTGTAAATTAATAGATAATAGCAGCCATTAATTACAATTTCTACAGCTGTGTTCAAGATGAGCGTTCACATCACTGACTGCTCCGGGGCGTACGCTATATTTTAATGCTACGATGAAAAATAAAAACGTTAGCTCCAATATAAAAACACATGCAAACTCTTAGACTATAATGAATTCATTATGATAAAAACGTACTGCTTTGCTGAAGCGTTTATGATAATATAAACTGTCATTCCGCGTTTAAAACTACCATTTCTACGGAGCGCGTGCTAGCGTTTAGCTTGATGTAGCTAGCAGGCCAGAGCCGCTGATTAAATATATAAATCATTTGAATATTAATACTTACACGGCAAGGAGGCTTCTGTGTTAATTTCATGAGGTCTAAGTCATGTTTGCAATAGGTCAAAAATAATAAATAAGTGTTATTCCATTAAATACTATCAACTGCTATCGCTAGCCGCTTTTTAATGTTTTGAAGCTAGGATAATTTCATTCAGCAACATGGCGGCGGGGCGACCCTCTGTGACCCGGAAGTCAAACAACTGTGACGTCCCGAAAATAAGAAACGAAAAATAACTGAAATCTCTTTACATCTAAAGTTTTTAATTAAGTGTAGAATATGTCTGGGATTCTGAAGACTACACTTTAAATTGACATACTTTATAAATATATACCAAAAACACCAGCATTATGAAGAAAACCCGTTTATTATCTTTGATAATAAATTACATTGTTCAAACTCCCTAACAGTGTCACAATTCATTTTTCAAAAATTTCACAAACATTCTTAAAAAATACAAAAAGGTAACTGAGTAAACTCCAGCAAGCATCTCTTAAACCATTTTCACAAAATAGTTAGTATATCATTTTCTAAAACCTTGTCTTAGAAGACAGTAAACTCTTCAAAAAAACAAATAAAACTTGTATTCATCCAAACAAACCACAAAAATGTCAACATTAACACAAATATAAAATAATTTGCACAGAAATATGAGTGATTTTTACATGCAAAAATCTAAATGACTGCATCGCTACCTGAGAAAAACAGATTTGTTTTTTCAAACAAAATCTCAACTTCAAAAGGACATGTAGTGCATTTTACTATATATTGCAAGATTTAGTCTTTATTACCAGTCATAAAGCACTTATTCTATTAGGTTAAAATACTATTTTTGTTTCAATTACATTCATTTGTCTATAGAAAGTAATACAGGTAAATTATTTTACATGCTATATTTGGTCATTTCATCCAAGATATTAATTTCTGCTTGCAAGCTGACATTCATGAAGATATTCTAAACAGTTTACACCCTCAACCCAACCTCTTTGAAAAAAAAACAACCTCAGCCCACTCTGAAGAACACATTCCTTTTACAATTATGTGCAAAAGCAGCACACTAAATCACACAAAACATAAGAATTGAACACAGAAAAAAATACTTTCATGCCTTTTTTGGTGTGATGCTACAGGTACAGTCTGGATAGTAGGATAACATGTGGTCTTGTGGTCATTTCTCCTACATTTGATCAAAGTGCTTGTGTGTTGTATGAACTGTTCAGGGAGAATGAATACCACTATGTCTGCAAAGTGGAAAGGCGTCGCTCAATGCACTTCTTACCTAAAAAACGTAAAACAAACAATGAACACATGAGAAATGCATCAATACAAGGTCTAATTTAGTAATGTGATCAATTGTATAGTGGTAATGAGAGTCTACACACATTTTTCAATGCTATCGATGTCTTTTTGCTCCGTAATGATTCGGGACAGACCCTCCATCAGCAGAAGGGCTTTGTTATAGCGCTGCACTGATGCTGCGCCATAGTGGAACATCTCGTCCAAAGCAGCAGATTGTATCTGAGTATAGTAAACACAAACATTTGAAGCACGGATAAAAGCAGGCCTAATTGATGTAAAAAAAGGTAGAATATGATCAGAGATGAGCTTTAACACTTTAAAGTGAACCTACCATATGCACAGTGTGTCCATAGATGAGCTTCTCTGCGGTGAGGCTGTTGAAGCGATCCATGAGTTTCTGTTTGTCAAGCAAGAAGGTCTGGAGCCGGTCGTTCAGGGAGCGGCAGTAGGTCACGCAGCACTTGTACAAGTTGTTGAGCTTCCTGATCACTGTATGAAGGGATTTTTGGTTTTTAATTTCAATATCTGATATATCCTTTAACCCTTGAAATAATTGACAGAATATTCTAATTTTTCCAAAATTAGAATTGTCATTGAACTTTCTGACAAATGAAATAAAAATATACATTTTGTAAACGTTAAATTACATCATTTATTTGGATCAGTTTTGATACATTACGCATTTCTATATAATCATTTATTTGTTTTATCAAAACTACCCCATGTGTCTGATTATATAGGTCAAGGTTTCAAGAACAAAAACATCACACTGACATGCAGAGGTTTCAAAAACTCAGGTAACAAATATTATACAATTGGCTTTAAAAGGTTAAAAACCCAAATTGAAGCATCTAAAAAATTTGTTTAAATTATTTCAAGATCTCTAACAGCAAATAAACAGCCTTGTAAAAAGACGATGAAAGCTTTTAATAGGAGCAGAAGTAGTCTTTATGTATGCACATAATTTGGTTATTACATATGGCTGCAAGTGTAGAATTTCAAAACGAAGCTTAAAGACAATTCTTCTTATTTCAACTTCTGCTACTCTGATTGTTCCTGATGGACTTTTCCTATGTATGAGTATGGTATTACTCTCACCTTGTTTGACAGACGAAGAGGTCTGGAGGTGGCCTTGTTTAATGCTTTCCTTTGCAGTATGCAGCGCAGAAGATAGAAACTCCTCAGCCTTCATGTACAGCACTAACTGCTCTGCATAGCTGGAAAAAGACAAAAACAATATTAGCTAAAGAAAAGGAGAGTTACAAACATAAAGCTACGGTAATTAAATATGGAGACATAAGTTCATGTAAATAACCGCCTTGCCTGATATTTATACATGATCTCAATGAAAAAAGTAAAAAAAAGTGGCTAATGCTGTGACTGATTTGTCTCGGAAGTCAGAGCTCAAATCCAGAAGTGATGACGCACCTGAAGTGATAAATTTCTAGTTCTAAGTCCTAATTGGCTTGATATTAACTACTAGCATCTACACATCCTAATAATTAATAATGCACACCTGATAATGCACAGCCCTAAAAACAGATTAGACCTTTAATTTTTCACATGATTTCTATGTGCATCCTCCGTCTTTAGGGCGATGATTAGCTGACTTCTACGTTGTATTGAAAGTAAAACTTTTCCTGAACTCCATGTTGAAAATATGTTGAGACCAACTTCAAAGTTGGAATTGATCTTTCTCCACAAAATGAAATAAAAAGTACTTTCTTTGAAATTCTGATATTAATCATAGATCTGATTGCTAGAAAATGTTGATTAAACTGGTCCATTTATGCCTGGCATTATAGCATTGATGCAACATTTATAATTAAGAATACAAATTCAAAGGTTTTCCATCTTAACTGTTTTTTTTTTACCGTTTTATAAA